GTGAGTGAGTGGTGGCGGTGGACGAAGTAGAGTTAAAAGTAGAAAAGAGTTGGCGAGGTGTGGATGAGAGTTTGTTAATGAGAGTGACAAAATACGTCTGTTTGGCAGTACAGAGGAAGGAATTGTATTTTAGGAGGGCAGCTTTGTACAGGGTAAAGTCTTGCAGAGATCTAGTTTTTCGCCACAGTCGTTCAAGAGTGCGGCTATGTCTCGAGATTTTTGGTTTCATTTGTTGTAGCGGACGTGGTCTAAGTCTGCGAGTAGTGAGGGGAGCCAAGGTGTCTAGAGAGTAAGAAAGTGAGCTGTTGTAGACAGAAATAGCCTAGGAAGGAAGGTAGCACTGGCAGCTCAAAGTTAAAATGCAGGGGAGGCTAGCTGCAAAATAACAAACAAACACACTGAACTGTGTGACATTATCTGAAAACTGATGATTCGAATGGAGTATGAGTGAAGTCTCTAAAGGTAAAGATATTATTTACAGTAGAAATGTGATATCTATTCAAGCGAAAGACAGGAAGGTGCACAGAAGGCAAGGACCATGCAGTCTTCCCGTGATCAGGCAAAGGCCATAAATAAACATTCCCAGTCTTTCTGCAGGAGGTTTTCTAAATAGGAGGGTATAGGGAAGGACTTAACATCCAAAGAAGCGTTATAAGTGTAAATCTGGTACAGGGTGATTCCCTATGCAGAAAGCGGCATGCACTGCATCAATCAGAACCATCAATAACTTGGTTACATACAGTCTCTGCAGGAGAAGACTTTGAGGGTTCGGAAAAGCAGGTAAAGCAGGGTAAAAAAAAAAAGAGTTGAATAAAATTAAAAATAACTCCAGGGATATATAATGAAATTAGTTTGGAAATGCTAGATAATTGCTTAAATAATGCATTACACTAAAAATAAACCTATTAGATTTTCGTCGACTAAAACCGACTTGAATTTCGTCGACAAAAATAAAAGAGAATCTGATGACTAATGTGTACGCTGTACACATCAATACAAACAAACAGACCCAAAGCCTAGGATGCCAAGCCACTCCCCTCCTCCTTGCTAACAGATTGACAGCTACTGGAGACTGTGCTGACCTTTGTTACTTGGACATTGGTCCACAAGAGGCCATTAGTACATCCTGGTCATTATAGACTACTCTACCCAGTATCTTGAGGCTGTTCCTTTAAGACACACCTTCTCCAAAACCATCGCCAGGGAGCTGTTCCACATGTTTGCCCATGACAAACATACACCAGCCAGATAGAAGTATTGGATCCATCATGTAAACTTAATTGAATGCTACAAATATAAAGAAGCCCTCTTAGCAATGGGAGATAGGTTCCCTCATAAAGAGCAAGGCGTATGGGAGGTTTAAGTAGCCAAGTCCCTGTCCTTAGCCCAGTAGGTGCATTTCTGCAGCAAAATAAGGATATATTCTCAGAGTTGCCATGCTGTACAGACACAATTAAACATAATCACTAACCTCACGGTTTGAGTTTAGCTTAAGCCCCTATAGACATTGTGATAATTGAAGAAACCAAAACTGATTGGTGTAGCACAATAGTCTTGGTTCCCAAGCCTGATGGTTGGTAAAGCTTCTGCAATGACTTCAAAAAAGTTAGTTTGATGCCTACCCCATGACAAGGATTGATAAACTCATTGAGAGGCTGGGTCCATCAAAATTCATAACCGCCCTTGAGCTGACTAGGGAATAGTGGCAGGTGCTGCTAACAGAGGATGTAAAAAAAAAAACTGTGCAGTTCCTTTCAGTATGTTCGAATGCCCTTTGGCATACAGTGGCTATATTTCAGCGGATGATGGATGAGATTCTCAGGATTCATCAGCACTCAGATTAGTAAGGTTTGTGTTTTGTATGAAACTGTGCCGACACAGAACTCTGCAAAATAATCTTGTTTGTTTTTGTATGTATGTATGTATGTATGTATGTATGTATGTATGTAAATATATGCAATTTTACATTGGGGGGCATTCATAATAACTGGAGCAGACAGAATCTGCAGCAGCTGCTCATGGCAACCAGTCAGCATCTGTTTTATATTTTCAAAGCTTAACTGAACAAACTGAAGAGAGGAGCTGATCGATTGCCATGGGCAACAGCTCCAGATTCTGTCTGCTCCAGTTACTATGAATCCCCCCCAATTGATGCATCACACACCCCTTAGAGGTGCCACAGGCTTATACACGATAAAAATATGAACCAGAATCCACATAATTTCCTTGCGGAGAGAGTCCAGTGTATATTCTTCTAGTTTCTTGAACAAACACGATGTCGCAAATTTAAAAAGTACAGCAAGATTATATATATATATATA